CTCGTCGTGTTGCCGGCAAAATTGCTGTCCTGCTGCGACATGCTTCCTCGCTGCCGTATCCATGCCGACTCACCTACTTCAGATCTATCGTTTTGCCTGAATTTTTGTATGCTTCTATTAGTTACTACCCGTATTTGACAGTTGCCCAGGAACAACGGCTACATAGGCTGTTCAAACGTGCCGCTCGGGCAGTCTGCAAGTCGCCACCGTGGACCAGTACTGCTCCCCTGCTAAATCGAATGCATGTATGTGATCTACAGGTTTCTGTGCACTTGAATATGTTGTGTTTCATCTGGCGATGTTTGCATGATGCATGTAGCACCCTGTTTGAGTCCTTTTTTGCTGTCGTGCCCTCAACTCGCACTCGGGGAGGCCAAAGCAACTTGCTTGTGGTCCCACCTGCTAGCACTGCTCGTTCTGCTAAGCGCCTAACGCACGCTGGAGCCATTATGTGGAATAGATTGCCACCAGCAGCAAAATGTTCAAATAGGTATTTGGATTTTAAATCTCAAGCCTTGCAGTATATATTATCAGCGACATAGGTTTTCCAATGCTTACTGGATTGATATCTGTTCGTTGCAACCAACCTTCCGTCATTTTTTTTCCTTTCTCTTTTTCTCTTGTATCTATTTTTTTTTTTTTTTTTTTTCTCCACAATATCCTTTAACATGTTATTCACAGTGGGTCCAATGTTATTAGGCATTTTGCCTGTTTTGATTTCCACTATAAATAAAGTATACAACAACAACAACAACAACAACGCGTTAAAACGCGCGTTAAACTCCTCCTCTCGTGTCTTCACCCTATTCTCTTTGTTATTGTATTACTAATTTCTGGATTGCAGGACATGTACATGTAGCTTTGTTTAGAATTCTTCCCACGGACTCAGATGGAGAGCCAAGGTTTAATTTATACAAAAAAGAAATACCAAGAAACTACAAGTTACGCTATACTGTCCACTAACACCACCAGTGTCATGCAATCTTATCGCATGAGCTGATTGCTTAGTAACTGGTGGTGTTTAGATGACAGTATAGCGTAACTTGTAGTTCCTTGGTCTTTCTCTTTTGTATAAATTCTTCTTATCGGCTTCATATTACAGTCTTGGGCAACCCTGCAGTATCAAAGCACAGTATCTCTGACTCTGCATACTCTAGCAACAAGTCAAGCAGAGCTGGAAACATTGTGGAGTTAATTATCAGATTAGCGGGTGCTGGACGGAGAGAGAATCAGGCGTCACAATACAGAATGGAAAAGTGTAATATGTCAGTTTGTTCCTTCTTGTGAACTAATTCCACAAGGCAAAAATATACGTGACAGTGATTCACGCCAAAGCACGACAACAGGTGCCAAGCACCATACGTCTGTAAGGCCGCGGTCACACCGAGCTCGATTCAGCCGTTCAGCCGAAACAAGCGCTTGTTTACGTCACTATTACCATGGAAATGGCTGAAAAATGTCCTACAAGCGACTTTCAGCCGTGGCTGACTCTCAGCCGTTTTTGTTCGGCTTGTTTCAGCCACAGCTTGTACAAGCGGCTGAAAGCCGAAATTCAAAAAAATAATTTGAGTGCGCTTGGAGCTCCGGAGCACACTATGTAGCAAGTTGACATGATGAACTGATTTTGATGTTCTTTCTTGTGTCCGTGGAACCGTGCTATCCCTGTGCCTTTGGTTTTGACCGTGAGTCTGTCTACCCCAACTACACTGTATTCAGTTTGATTTGGATTTTGTCCGACGACCATGGATTTCTGCCGCTGTGCCTCTAGACTGCTGCGTAGATTGTTGGAGCTGTGGTTTGAGGCCAAGACAAGGCACCACACTCACGACCGAATTGATGAAGAAAGCCGGGTACGAAGAAGAGAGTGGATTGCAGCTGAGTTCAATAACGGCAACCGGCGGGGCAGAAAGCTCGACATCAGGAAACACCACCCGAACCATCGCGTCCATGCACACCGAACAAATAAAAAGAGCACGACTTCGCAATTCAGAATCCGGGCTTCCTTTGCTTCTTCATCAAAACTGAACACTAGAACAAGTACAGTTTTAGATCGCGAACGTTCTGCTCTCCAGTTTCTTGCAAACATTGGTGTGTTTCGAGATATTCAAAATTTGGCGGGTAAGAAAAACAAGCCATTCAAGCTTTGCACTCAAGGTCTGGTGTGACCGCGTCACAGGGATCACGCAAGCCAGCTGAGCGCCAGCGATAACAAGCCCAAAGTGGCTTGTTTCGGTGTGACCGGGGCCTAACTCTATTTCTATTTCTGAACATTAACCAGACGGATGCAAGGTTTGATTGTGAGGATATTGTCAACGCCTGATGAGTGCTCAGCTTTTCTCCAAACCCGAAACTCGGAGGTACATAGATAATGGTTTTGGCTGTTCTTTTTCAAGTGGTGTGGTACGTTTACTCCTAACGTTAGTTCGAGCAGTTGTCACACTTGCTGGAAGAGTCTTATTACATTGCTTGGTTTTTAAAGCGTTTTGCTTTTGACAATCTAATTGAGGTTTTGTACGGGGGCTTGTTTCCGACTACACCAGTTGGTGTATTGATTGCTCTGTGCCGGACCTAGAAAAGAAAGGCCGAGTAAAACGTCATCCTCAAGCAAACAAGTAGTAGCCTGCCGTCATTATTCTGCTGACCATCGTCGTGCGTTTTCCACTGTGTCAATGCGTTTTCCCATAGACACAGAAACAAATAGGGTAAAGGTATTGAAATTGCCCTGGACCGTTTTAGCAACAATAATGCTGTAGTAACTTCATTTGCACTCTTACACGTAGGCTGCTTCCGTCTACTTCAAGTAGCGCAGTCACAATTGAAGCGTACTACACGGTATTGAATTCGTACATGTTGACGTTGGAGGCATGGTTACATGCTGGTCTTGTGTCGAACACTTAGCGATTTATAGTTTGCGTGAAGGAGAGTAGAACATACCCTAAACCTAACCCTAGCCCTTGGTGTGGCGGAAACTTTTATTAGTTCCACTTCATTCAGAGATGCACATCACTTTGCTGCATGTGTATGCATACTGAAGTATTTCACATGGTGAACTCCTAATATTCACAGTAGCGATCTAAGCGTGTGTCCAGGTTTACTTCCTGTGTCAACTAGAATATGTCAGACGGCCATATCTTGCAATAAAAAGGCTGGTAGGCATACAATTCAGCATGTTTACATGTCCATATGTTGAGCAAGGAGTAGTGCTTTCTTGCAGGTTTGCCGAGTCGAAGATTTGATGGACTTCTCGTGTGCTCTGGATGGCGGTCGCGAGTCAGTCAAGTGAGAATTCCAGTCGGCAGGAAACCCGCGAAGTCCCATGTAGGGAGCAACACACAATTCCCAATAGTATTATTAGTGTCCGAAGTGGCTGACTTGAGCAGATCCTTTCTTCATTGCTGCGTGCACCGCAGTATAAATGGTCGTAACGGATGTCCAGTTTTGCGTGCCGTGTCACTGGTGACACGCCAGCCGTCACAATCTTGCTGAATAATATGGCAAGGCATGTACCAGTAATCCAGCATGTTTTAGATGACAGATGGTTTCCAGGTGCTGTGCACGCACTGGTACTTAGCTAAGTATGCTTGCCTCTACGTGGTACCTTTTGCTAAACGTGCAACATGATTTTACAAGGCAAGCAATCAACAGGTTTTGCATGCCACATGGCTCCCGTATGCTGTGCATTGGTGGTTGGCTACCTGTGTTTTCCTCTACGCGGTACACCTATCATACTTAGGCATGTACAGGTCCGTTTCCCGCCAGTTGTTGATGTACGTGATGATTCTGCATCTGAGCTCCACTGCTGGCGAACGCCTGTGTTCTCGTGCATGCGTACCAAGGTTATGCCACGAAGCTGCGAAAACGAGGAACGTTGCTCCTTACGACTGTATTGCCAATGAACACTCTGTTCGCTCTGTAGAAACCTTTGGCTTGTAGTGTATTTGCGTGAATGAGAGGGATCACCGTGGAATCCAGCAATGTTGTTGGACGACAAGTTGCTGAACAGTAACCATTACTAGTCTTTCACTCTGCTCTGTTGGCTAAGATGGTGCGCTACACTATTGGTTTGCACATCTGTTCGCTGATTACAGCAGTGGTTGCAACCAGCGATACTGAATCAGCAGGTATGAAAAAAGTACTGTGCTTTCCCAATGTCTAGCGTTAAAAGTATACACTTCAAGAACATTACAATACTAAAGCGAAGGTACTCTTCTCTGATGAGAAAAGCGATTATGCGAAGTAGATCTCCTGTATTTTGTGTTGGCTTGGGATTGGTTGAGTGCCAAGAACCTCTGAGTAAGAGTTGTATTTTGCACACGCACAAAACATTCACTAGGCAAGTTATGGGATGAAAGTTGTTGTATCCATTAGTTTGAAAGAGTTTCAAGCAGGATTTGTTTTGTAATATGGTTCAACAACCAATAATTAGTCAACCATGAATGATATTTAAAGCCGTACAGGCAAAGACGTAAGCAGAGGATATGTGAAAGAAACCTTTAGTGCCAATATAGAAGGTATGGTTTGTGCAATAGGTCATGTATGAACACCTCCGTGTAAGAGAATGGAAGTGGATAAAAGTGGATGTTGAAATGGTAGGTAGCATTGAGGGTGTTAGTGTGAATTCGTGTGACTGTACCTGACTGTGTGTGGTTTCGTGGGGGAGGGGGTGTATGATTATATCTTTGCATACGTGTAGTACATTCCCAATTGTGTCTGCGTGTGTGTATGTTTGTTCAGTGTCATGGACTGACTGCGGAGCACCATATGGCAAAATCCTGATGATTGCCGTTTTGGATAAATCGATGTATGACGCAGCTCGACAACAGTGCCACAATGATCATGCAGATCTAGCTACTGTACACTCCGCACTTGAAGTAAAGTGTGCCAACACAGCACTGAGCAAAGTGAGAACGTGTCCAGTTCCTCGCAATGGACAACCTGCATGTCAGCGTACTCGTGTGTCTGGGACGGGTTTATGTAACTGTGGTGCATGGGTAGGCCTCACTGGATCAAGCTTTTCCAATCGCCAATTTCATAATTGGACATGGTACACACCATCCTCCAACACGACGACAGGTAGCATAGTATGGAGAAGTGGCTATCCTAATCATGATAGTTCAAAGTATCGTGTGAATTACAACCCATCAAAAGGCGGCTTTGGCAATGTACCTGACTATACACGACCCTACCTGTGTCAACAGTACTATCCACCAGGTGAGGTCCATAATATTATTGTCTGACTATTCAAAACCTGGTTTAGTTGGTGGACTCTAAAATATAACCTGTTCCCACCGTTTTTCTTTTCTAGGCCTCTTTTACAGGCAAAATAACACAATGCATTGCAATTCAATAAATCATACACTGGAGAAGAAATCAGAAAAAAATATCATGAGAGCAGCTCAAACAACAAAATGTACACATTCGAAGCGGAAGCAGAATAGAAGAGAGACGGAGAAGCAGAGTGGAACGCGATTAGGCAGAAGGATAGAATTACTGTATCAGTGTCAGTTGAACAATAGCATGGACACTCACAATACGGAACAGACGACATGGCTGTAGACTGGAGCATCTCCACGTGCGCGTTTGCACCAACGTGACTTGGAGGAAATACATAAATTAACAGACCAGGTAAGGTCAAAACGAGAATCATTAAAAAGGCTGTCTTGAAACATTTACAAAACAGGCGAGTGGCCACAACACCAACAAAAACATATCAAATCAATTTTTAATTAATTAAAAAGAACTACTACTTGCTGCTACTTACCCCTCTTAAAAATAACTCAAACAATATACTCAATTCAAAAGGAGAAAACCAATACCAAAAAAATGAACTAATTAATAAGAACACTAATAAGTTTTTTGGGAGTATTGGGAGAACTTCAAATTCAAAGTGTCAGTCGGGGAAGTGAACTGCCTGAAAAGAGAAAAAAAACCGCTACACCCACCAGGACTCGAAACCGGGACCTTGCTTGTGATGAGCAATGCTCTAACCACTTGAGCTATGGGACCAGGCTGAGCCTGGAAGGCGCTGACAGGTTTTTCACTCCAAAGGCAGCTCACAATACGTACCACGCATACAGATGGCACTTCCCCGACTGATACTTTGAATTTGAAGTTTTCCCAATCCTTTCAAAAAATGAATCACTTTCTTTCCCTTTTGGTAGAGTCCAGAAACTGACCGTGGTTGGTCCCCTGGGGAGGGAAAAAGACTCAAGTGCCATCAGTATGTGTGGCACGTGCTCGGAGCTGCCTTGTTGTTTGTTTATTTTACTTCACCATATGAACAGGCAAGACTGCCTTCTCACCGGGGCTATTGGTCCACGGCTCTCACAAAATGATGAAAATGTTTAAGAGAGCATGTCTGAGAATACCAAAGTATGTGTGCAAGTGGATCTCTCCGATTTCGCTCAAAATTTGCAGGTAGGTTCCCTTTGGGGTGTGGATCGATTGTGCAAAGCCCTTAAAATTGAAATTTGGATACCCCTCAGAAATGGCCAAAATATCACATTATTTATGGGTCTAGAAACGAGTCACGCCACAGCGTATACGAACAAGCTATGAACAAAACTCCATCAAGCCAACATTGCCTCACCTTAGAAGAGTTCCTGGAGCAGTACCGCTTAGCCACGCCAGGATCCCAGCAGACGAGGTCCATCACCCCCTGACGCCACAAATGAAAATAGCCAATTTACAAGCGCTGGCAAAACAGCCAGCTACGTCCTCAATTGGCCAGAACTATACACCGGCAGATAGTAGAACACCTCTTCTAGCGCTGAGGACTTGTCCCCCATCTTCCTTTTGGGGTTTTCTTGAAATAAACCTTTTTGAATTTTTCCACTCGACCATGCTGAAATACGGCCAAAGTCATACCTGCGCAGGAAAGCTCGCCCCTCCGCGACATCTCCTCAGCAATTTCTACTCCAACACTACTCCCAAGGCCGCAGAACAAAGTGTATTGTTGGCTCTGACAAGGAAAAGCAGCGGTGATCACTTGTCACTCCAAACGACAAGCTTCTCCTTGCGCCACCAATAATTTTTTGTGCGACTGTAGATGCAAAATGACTGAAGTCCTGAGCGCAGTTTTTGAATTTTATTGCAAGATGCGCGGTGAGATCGCGTGCTCTGTGACGTAGAATGACGCTTCCTGGATCACGACACGCGGCCATCGATCGCGAACGTGACTGGAACGCTGCTCGGAAAGGACCATGATGGCAGAGGTAAGATTAGCTAGAACCCTCCCAAACTGTCCTTGGAGTGTTGCAATGGCAGCAAGCCGTTGAAATATGCCCCTATTACAGTATGGAGAGCTATTCATCTTTCACACTTACCTCCTGCAATCCCGAAAATAGTCCAACAGTAAAAGTCCCTTGTTTTCATGTCAATGCTCGACAAAAGCTGCTAGCGCGGCGCGCGGTCGCTTGGGTCTACGACAGGTCACAGCGACACAGCTCACAGCGCGACAACTCACAGCGAGACAACTCACAGCCAGACAACTCACAGTGTCGTCAACTCACAGTCAAGACAATTCACAACCAAGACAACTCACTGGGCGACAACTCACAGTGTCGAAGGGTCTACGACAGGTCACAGTGAGACGGCTCACAGCGCGACAACTCACAGCGAGACAACTCACAGTGTCGTCAACTCACAGTCAAGACAACTCACAACCAAGACAACTCACTGCGCGACAGCTCACAGTGTCGAAACTCACCGCGAGACAACTCAAAGCGTCCTTATTTATGTAATAATTACCTGGAGTCAGTGGGAGTTGGTCCTAGTAAAAACCTACATATAATAATAACGCGGAGTTCCCGGCACTTCTCTACTTACATGTCAATGAATGCAAAGAAGAAAATAACAGAGAACTTTAATCGAGAAAGAAGACAAAGCCTGAACAAGAAGAAGAAAGTATTGAAAATAAAGTTAAAATATAAGATAGAATAAAAAATAAAAAGGCGACGTGGAGACAATAATCTTAATAATGCAATGAATATAACTAAATGCGCACTCATATCACAACCATGGGGACGAATCATGTACATGTATTCCAGAACGTTTTCTTGTCACAATAATTATTATCAATGGAATTCGTGACTAAAGAGAATGATGAAACTACAATAGGATTTATACACTTGGAGTGGAACAGCGAGGATACAAGCATAGTAAGAAAAATAGCACAAACCTAGGAACAATGTGCACAGGTAATAAACTATAGGTGAGGTGAGAAATGATAGGAAATTCAGCAAGTACGCCGGACGCAGACAACCGCAACTCACCAAAGCTGAGAAGGAGCAAACGGCTGGCAGCTCGGTTTGCAGAGGTGACTGGAAAGATGCAACGAAACTCTCCGGATATGGATGATGCCAGCGGAAGGGTTGACGACTGTGAGGTGTTTGGCAATGGCAAGGGAAGACCGGTCAGGAAGAGAACGCGACGGCAGCTGGAGGAGGAGTGTGGAAGCGACATGTGCAGTGACGATGATGAACCCGGTGGTCAGTTGCTGGGAGAGCTGACGACAGGTGAAGGTGGCAGCGATGATGAAGAGGACGATGACGATGATGACGATGATGGTGCAGATGGTGTGAAGGACGGTGGTGGTCAGAAACCAAGTGAAGGCAGAGGCGGTGAGAAGAAGAAGAATACATCGGCAATTAAATTGCATTTGTTGTCTAACCCCGTGTGTCGTGAAAGTTATGATGATTCTTGGTTCAGTGTTGTTCGTTCTGCAAGTAGTTTCAAGCAGTTGAAAGTTCTAGAAGCAGTCTACATTCGCATTCGTGATCCAAATCTTTGTAAACAAAAAGAAAATGTCACCGCACTTACGCTATTCCAGTAAATTCGCACTCACACACACTTGCACATGCATGTCCATTGTCACACTGCACTTGCTGAATTTCCTATCATTTCTCACCTCACCTATAGTTTATTACCTGTGCACATTGTTCCTAGGTTTGTGCTATTTTTCTTACTATGCTTGTGTCCTCGCTGTTCCACTCCAAGTGTATAAATCCTATTGTAGTTTCATCATTCTCTTTAGTCACGAATTCCATTGATAATTGTGACAAGAAAACGTTCTGGAATACATGTACATGATTCGTCCCCATGGTTGTGATATGAGTGCGCATTTAGTTATATTCATTGCATTATTAAAAAATAACCTTGAAATTTCCTATAAGAATCACATAATTATATGAAATGCCAAGTTCGCGGCAACTCCTCGTAGAAACTCATCCTTCGTCCTGGTCTCAAACGACCGGAGTATGGCACGAAGTCGCTTGTCCCGTTCTTCATACTTTCTCCTCTTCTTCGGAGCCTCATGACCTGCATTTTCCCCCTCCACACACTGCTCCATCATTGCCTGCTCGACAAAAATACCATCCACGAATTTCCAAATTGTGGGATGATGGCAGTCGATGGTAGACGAACATTTGCGGTTCAGAAACAGAACACAATAATTCTGTTGTCAGCAGTTTCCGGTCCACTATCGTAGAGAAGGAAGACGTCCCCACCCTTCGTTTCTTGATATCGCTCCGGCAGCTGGAGGTCTTGGAGTGTGCCTGGGTTCGGGGGAACGTTCTGACCCGCAGGCGATCTCGGTGTGGCTGTGAATTGTCGCGCCCTGAGTTGGTGTGGCTGTGAGTTGTCTTGGCTGTGACTTGTCTCGCTGTGAGTTGACGACACTGTGAGTTGTCTTGGCTTTGAGTTGACGACACTGTGAGCTGTCGGCTCTGAGTTGTCGCGCTGTGAGCTGTCTCGCGGTGACCTGTCGTGTTCCCCGAAAACTCACAGCGAGGCAACTCACAGCGTCCTTATTTATGTAATGGTGCAATGAAGACCTGGAGTCTGTGGCCCAGTGTGGGGGTTGGTCCTAGTAAAACCTACAATGTATAATTTTGATAATAATAAAGCGACGTTCCCGGCATTTCCCTATTTACATGTAGTGCAAAGAAGAAAATAACAGAGAACTTTAATCGAGAAAGAAGACAAAGCCTGAACAAGAAGAAGACAGTAATGAAAATAGAGTTAAAATTGAAATTTCCTGTAAGAATCACATAACGATATGAAATGCCAAGTTCGCAGCAACTCCTCATAGAAACTCATCCTTCGTCATGGTCTCAAACGACCGGAGTATGGCACGAAGTCGCTTGTCCCGATCTTCATAGTTCCTCCTCTTCTTCGGAGCCTCATAACCTGCATTTTCCCTCTCCACACAC